ATCCCGAGAGGAGAATGGAGGAGAAGGGATTGTGGTGTGGCCACTCCCCCTGGGGGGTGATTTCTCGCTTTCTGTCTCTGTTTCTCTCTATCTTTCTGGCAATAACATGCGCCCTATAGCAAAAAACCTCTCCCCCCCCCAAAAAAAAAGAAGACAGGTGTGTGATGCTTTCTGATACCAGAGGGGTGGTAGTTTCCCACCACCAAACAGTTCTCCAACACCAACTATGAACTGTCCAACAATTGAATACAGTTCAATTCTGACACTTATTACCCTGGTTTAGCATCACGCTTTATAGATTTAAAGACTTATTCCCACAAGTGAGTGCTCAGCGTCCACTTTAGACACCAGCCACAAATGGCTACCCAGGCTAACCCACACTTCTACCTGACTGACTACAAATTCCTCAGATTTAGTTATTAATTGGGGGCAAGGGGGCTGACAGGTGGCATGGTGGTTAAGGGTGCTAGATCCTCATGTGACTGACCACAGTTTGCGTCTCTGACCGGGCGGCTTGCTTTCTCGCTTTCCCTTTCTCTCTCCATCTGTCTCTCTCTGATCAAATTAAAGAAATAATGATAACAAATGGGATTAAATAAATAAATAAATAATTCTCTTTAAGGAAATAATAATAATAAATTGGGTACAGAAAAGATATTACCCAGACTGAGAACCAGAACTGATTTTGTCTTCTAGGACTTGCGTGGGTACTAGGAGATGCTGAAGAACTGCCCTTCGATGATGACAAGTTTGATGTTTACACCATTGCCTTTGGGATCCGGAATGTCACACACATCGATCGGGTATGAATGTCGCATCCTCAGCTTGTATGACTCTTAGGATATTTGTTTTCCTAGAGCAGATCCACAGCAAATATGGAAAGAGAGAAATTCTCTTTCAGCCCAGCATTTGAGTAGAGTGACTGTTTCAAGCATAGAAGACTTAATACTTTCGGTTGCCCATTTTTCTAGTCACAAAATTGAAAAAGATCCAAACCACAGAGCAGATCCCCATAGAAGTCTTTATTGCAGGACCAGCAGTTAGTGTAATGGCTATGTCACTGAACTCCCATGTAGTTGACTGCAGTTCAAGCCCCCTGGGGAGTGATTTCTCGCTTTCTGTCTCTCTGTCTCTCTCTGTCTGTCTGGCGAACGCACGCGCCCTATAGCAAAAAAAAAAAAAAAACCTCTACCAAAAAAATAAATAAAAAGTCTTTATTGCTTGGGTTAGTTTTTATACTTGGAACCATTCTGGTTTTTTTGTTTTGTTTTGTTTTTTGTTTTTTTGGAGAGGTTTTTGCTATAGGGCACGTGTGCTCGCCAGACAGACAGAGAGAGACAGAGAGACAGAAAGCGAGAAATCACCCCCCAGGGGGATGGCCACACCGCAGTCCCTTCTCCTCCATTCTCCTCTCGGAATCTTGGGCACGCACGCATATGCACCCAGTGTGAGTTTTAAGCCACCAGGTCCGGGACGCGAACCACGGTTGACTATATGGGAGTCCAGCAACATAGCCATTACGCTAACTGCTGCTCCCAACTTGGAACCATTCTTAACTCTGCCATTTCATCTGTATCTTCTTGGGAAGCTTCTGACCCTGTGAGTTTGCAGAAGATCAGAGACATATGAGAGGATGACCCAGAATAAAGCATTCAAACATGGTTTTGGCAGAAGATAGCTAGATTCAGGGCTCCTCTACTAGGAAAAGGGAATGTGCAACTCTTAATCAAATGCAGTTCTTCTCTATTCCTACTTTAACATTCTGTTCAAAGCATTCGAAGACTAGGTACAAGGCACCTGCTTTCATTTCTGTAATGCAAACTCCAGATGGTTGAGTTCTTGGCTTTAGGTAGGACATTCTTTAGAGTGTTCTTTAGCTTGTTTTTTGTTTTGTTTTGTTTGTTTCTTTTTAAATTGGTTTCAAGTTTGCTATAGAGTGCCTGCACTTGCCAGAAAGAGACAGGGAGGGAGTAAGAAATGAGGAAACACCCCTTGGGGGATGGCCACACCACAGTCCCTTCTCCTCCATTCTCCTCTTGGGATTTTGGGCATGCACAAGTGCCCAGTGTAATTCTCAAGCCAACAGGTTCAGGACGTGAACTGCTCAGTTGGCCACGTGGGAATCCAATGCTTTAAACACCATGCTACTTGCTGGTCCCTTGACTTGAATTTTGTGACGTGTTCTATGTATTATTTTGATTATAGTTTATTATTTCTCTTCATTAAAATTTTTAATACGTTCAAAGTTGAAAAGGTGCAAAACAGAATCTGTCAGTGAAAATCTCCCTCCCTGCCTCCCAGCCTTTCTTTTTTAGAAATAATTATTATTTAACTTTATTTATTTATTTATTTTAAATTTGACCAGAGAGGGACAGAGTAAGAAAGCAAGAGAGAGGGAAAGTAAGAAAGCAAGCTGCCAGGTCTGTGACTCGAACCACAGTCAGCCATGTGGGGAGTTCAGCATCCTTAACTACCAAGCCACCTGCCAGCCCCTTATTTATTTACTTTAATTTGACCAGAGAGAGACAGAATGAGAGAGAGAAAGAGAAAATGAGAAAGCAAGCTTCCAGGTCGGGGACTCGAATCACGGTCTGCCATGTAGGAGTCCAGTACCCTTAACCACCACACCACCTGCTGGCCCCCTCCCAGCCTTTCTGTGCCTCCTCTTCTTTCAGTCAGTTCTTTGTGTGTCCAGCATACTTAGGGAGGTCTCCGGACACAGACGCAGAACCTTCTTGTGTGAGCATGGAGTTTTACTGCAGCATCACCACCTGGCCCATTTCATCTTTTTTCTTTTTTTATTTTAAGAGATTTTTGCTATAGGGTGTACGCACTCACCAGAAAGATAGAGAGACAGAGAGACAGAAAGTGAGAAATCACCCCCCGAGGGGATGGCCATGCCACAATCTGTTCTCATCTATTCTCCTCTCAGGATCTTGGGCATGCATGCACACATGCCCAACATGAGTTTGAGTCACCGGGTCCAGGACACGAACTGTGGTCAATTACGTGGGAGTCCAGCGACTCCCAGCAGATTACATCATCTGCTGGCCCCCCATTTTTCCTTTTTAAAGCAAATAATATTATACTATACTAGACATTTGCCTGTTCCTTTTTAAAAATATATATTTTTGAGATTTTTTTTTATTTCAATATGTAAAGAAGACTAACTCCTTACTTTACTTGATTAATTAAAACAATTTTTTGTGTGATTTTTGCTACAGGGCATGTATGTCACCAGAGAGAGAGAGATAAAGCACCTCCTTGGGGGATGGTCACACTGTAGTCCCTATTCCTCCTTCTCTCCCTCCTTTTTGGGATTTTGTACACATATACAAGTGTGTGGCATGCCTTTCAAGCCACTGACTTTGGCACTCACACCACACAGTTGGCAATGTGGGATCTATAATGCCACTGGCTGGCCCCAGGCTTCTCCTTTTAAAAATAGCAGAATGTAGGGGGCAGCAAGTAGTGTAAGTGGTTGTGTTGCTGGGCTCCCACATGGCCAACCACGGCCTGAGTCTTGGACTCAGTGACTTGAAACTCACATCAGGCATGTGCAGTGACTGCAGTGTTTACAGTGTGCGCAGTGAGCGCAGTGCATGCAGTGTGTGCATTGTTCACAGTGAGTGCATTGTTTGCAGTGTGTGCAGCGCACACAGTGTATGTAGTGTGCAGTGACCACAGTGACTGCAGTGAGCACAGTGCTCGCAGTGTATGCAGTGCACCCAGTGATTGCAGCAAGCATAGTGTTTGTAGTGAGTGCAGTGTTCACAGTGCATACAGTGAGCACAGGAATGCAGTAAGAAAAGTGCTCGCAGCGTGTGCAATGCTCCCAGTGACTGCAGTGAGTGTAGTGTTTGCAGTGAGTGCAGTGTTCGCAGTGTGTGCAGTGAGCACAGTGTTTGCAGTGCATGCAGTGACAGCAGTGATTGCAGTGTTCGCGGTGCTCAGCGCGTATGCAGTGAGCACAGTGCGTGCAGTGAGTGCAGCGCATGTAGTGGTTGCAGATAGTGTTGTGCGTGCAGTGAGTGCAGCACGGGTAGTGGTTGCAGATAGTGTTGTGCGTGCAGTGAGCACAGTGCACGCAGTGAAAGGAACTGGCTACAGTTCGCACTATCTGTAGTCACGTACAGAACATGATCAAGGATGTTACATTGGGCTTCCGCTACAAGATGAGGTCTGTCTATGCTCATTTTCATGTCAACATCATTCAGGAGAATGGGTCTCTTGTTGAAATTCGAAATTTCTTGGGTGAAAAATACATCCAGAGGGTTTGAATGCAACCATGTGTTGCTTGTTCAGTATCTCAAGCCCAGAAAGATGAGGTGCTTCTTGAAGGCAATGATATTGAACTTGTTTCAAATTCAGGTGCTTTGGTACAGCAAGCTACAACAGTTAAAAATAAGGATATAAGAAAATTCTTGGGGACCAGCAGTTAGCGTAATGGCTATGTTGCTGGACTCCCATGTAGTCAACCGTGGTTCGCATCCCGGACCCGGTAGCTTAAAACTCACACCAGGCGTGTGTGTGTGCGTGCCCAAGATCCCGAGAGGAGATTGGAGGAGAAGGGATTGCGGCATGGCCATTCCCCCTGGGGGGTGATTTCTCGCTTTCTGTCTCTCTGGCTCTCTCTGTCTGGTGAGCGCATGCGCCCTATAGCAAAAACCTCTCCAAAAAAAGAAAATTCTTGGATGGTATCTGTGTCTCTGGAGAAGGGTACAGTTCAACAGGCTGGTGATTTCTTCAGCTACAGTAACAAGACAGATAATTTCTAAGGCCATTATATGATTTTTTAAAAATAATTATTTTATTAACTTTATTTATTACTATTATTTTCCAGCTTGTCTAGAGAGAGACACAGAGAGAGAGAGAAAGGGAAACTGAGAAAGCAAGCCTCCAGGTCCAGGACTTGAACCGCAGTCAGCCATGTGGGAGTCCAGCACCCCCAACCATGCCACCTGCCGGCCTCCATTATATGATAATTTAAAGATAATAATAAAAGACAAAATTGATTTTTTTAAAAATACAGTGGGCATGGGGATTGAGGTGCTGGACATTCCCACATGGCTGACCATGGTTCAAGTCTTGGACCTGGTGGCTTGGCTTCTCACTTTCTCTCTCTCGTCAAATTAAAATAAATGAATGAATAAATAATTCTTTAAAAAAAAATAGAATGTGGGACCAGCAGTTAACGTAATGGCTATGTCGCTGGACTCCCATGTAGTTGACCTCAGTTCGAGTCCTGGACCCGGCAGCTTAAACTCACGCTGAGTGTGTGTGCGTGCATACCCAAGATCCCAAGAGGAGAAGGGAGGAGAAGGGATTGCAGCATGGCCATCCCCCCTCGGGGGGTGATTTCTTTCTTGCTTTATGTCTCTCTGTCTCTCTCTGTCTTTTTGGCAAGCGCATGTGCCCTATAGCAAAAACATCTCAAAAAAAATAGCAGAATGTATTCCGTTTATTTAAATATTCCATCATAATTTTAGAATTATTTAACTTTATTTATTATTTTTTTTTTTTTAACTTGCTACAGGGTATATGCATCCACCAGAAAAAGAGAGAGAAATAGAAAAAGAAAGTGAGAAAGCAAGCCACCAGGTCTGGGACTTGAACCACAGTTGACCATATGGAGTCCAGTGCCTTAACCACACACCAGTTGCTGGCCCTTAGATATTCCATGATTTAACCAGTATCTCACTAGTGGTTAGTTTAGGAGATTTCTCGTCTCTTTTTCCCAAGAGCTCTTTTCTTTCTTTATTCAGGATAGGTGTGCATACACATGAGAATAGGAGAGAGCGGAGTACACTCCAAAGGTCTAGCTATGCTGTGATCCCCTTCTTGCAGTCCTCCAACCTTTTGGACTCTTGGTGCTTGAGTGCTTGACTGGTGTGTTTCAGGGTGACTGGCGTGGGGATTTGAGCTGAGGTTGCCATGTGGAATCCAGCTTCTCTTGACCATGTATTACTGCTCCACCATTGTACTGGCCCAGTGCTTCTGATCATGGTTGTTCAATAGCTAACCCATATCCGTGTCATCTCCACTGTAGAAACATTTTTTTTTCCTTTTGAGAGGTTTTTGCTATAGGGCGCATGCGCTCGCCAGAAAGACAGAGAGACAGAAAGCGAGAAATCACCCCCCAGGGGGGATGGCTACACCACAATCCCTTCTCCTCTGTTCTCCTCTCAGGATCTTGGGCACGCACGCACATGCACCCCGTGTGAGTTTTAAGCCACGGGTCCAGGACGCGAACCACGGTCCACCACGTGGGAGTCCAGCTACATAGCCATTATGCTAACTGCTGGTCCCTATAGAAACATTCTTATAAGGTAGATTCCTTGAAGAAAAATAGTTTTATCTACAAGACTATCCATTGTGACTTTGACAGGTAATTTTATACTTGCCCTTCTTGGAGTTGTGCCAATCTGTAGTCAGTTTAGATTATTGCGGGTAACCCTTCCTAGTTTTAGATAGCAGAATGCCTATAACCATTAGGCTATGCAAAATTATTTCTGCTATTACAGCTTCCCAGCTAAGAACAAACAAAGGATTTGTGGGAAATGACAACTTTTGTAACACCCACAGAAGCAAAAGCTGCCTCAACCTCAAGGATTGATAGAGGTCTACTAAAGACTGTGTCCTGTTGTACCTTCTCTCACTCAGGCTCTCCAGGAAGCCCATCGGGTCCTAAAACCAGGAGGACGGTTTCTCTGTCTGGAATTTAGTCAAGTGAATAATCCCCTCATGTCCAGGTTGGCATTGTTAATAGGACTTGGTTTTTCTTGTCTACTTAAGGGTTTCCCAACCAAAAATGGATAGAGAATAGCCAGTCAGCTGCAAGTGTAAACTTTCATTTTTGGTAGAGGTCTTTGCCTTGGGGTGCATGCACTCACCAGAGAGAAAGAGAGACAGAGACAGTGAGAGGGAAAGTGAGAAATCACCCCCTACACGGAGGATGACTACACTGAAATCCTTCTTCCTTTTCCTCTTGGGATTTTGGGCACACATGCACACACACCCAGTGTTTCAAGTCACTGGGTCCAGGGTTCGAACCGTGGTTGGCCATGTGGTTGTCCAGCAGTGTAACCACCATGTCATCTGCTGGCCCTGTAAGTGTAAACTTCAGAGCTTAGAGTCCCAGGGTGATAGTGCCACCTCAGTTCTGAATTACAATACCCAGGCTAGCAGAATCCCAAACCAGTATCAAGGCTAAAACTGGCCCATGTATGTATTTTGTGTTTGATTCATATAGTATTTTTTAAGAAAGTAACTTAGAGGATCATTTTTTCTTCCTTTTTAAAAATTTTGCCAGAGGGCACATGTGTTCACTGGAGAGATAGAGAGACAGAGAAAGGACTACAATTCTTTCTCCATCTCTCCTTCCTTTTTGGGGGGCACACATTCACATGTGTCTGGCATGTTTTTCAAGCCTCCAGGTCTGGGACTCAAATCACAGTCAGCCATGTGGGATCCAGCTGCCTTAAGCACCATGCCACCAGCTAGCTGGAGGTCCATGTGTTTCTTTTTTATTGTTGTTGTTGTTGTTGTTTTAAAGAATTATTTATTTAATTTATTTATTCATCCTTTTTTTTTTTTTTGGAGAGATTTTCACTGTAGGGCGCGTGCGCTCGCCAGACAGACAGAGAGAGACATAGAGACAGAAAGCGAGAAATCACCCTGGTCACGCCGCAATCCCTTCTCCTCCATTCTCCTCTCGGGATCTTGGGCACGCACGCACACGCGCCCGGCGTGAATTTTAAGCCACCGGGTCCGGGACACGAACCGCGGTCGACTACGTGGGAGTCCAGCGACATAGCCATTACGCTAACTGCTGGTTCCCTCATCCATTTATTTTAATTTGACCAGAGAAAGAGAGAGACAGAAAGAAAAAGGGAAAGTGAGAAAGCAAGCCACCAGGTTTAGGATTCGAACCGTGATTGGCCATGTGGGAGTTGTCTAGCACCTTAACCACCACACCACCTTCTGGTCCCCTGGGGGTCCATGTTTTAAAATCAGGAAAATTTACATAAAAGTCAAGATTTCCAGCTTTACAGGAGAAATCAGATACATGGGAACTCTGGGCAGGTCCATATACCTACATGCAGTGGTTGGAGCTGACTAGTAACTGCTTTTTCTCCACTGTTATGATACTTCCTAACTCTACCTGTTACTGTACCTATTGGTCTTATACCTGACCCACTTCACTTATTTCAGGTACTTAGACCTTCTTAATTCTTTTTTTTAAATAATTTTGTAATATTACTAGTTACTTTTTATTTATTTATTTTAATTTGTCCAGAGAGGTACAGAATGAGAGAGAGAGAGAGAAAGTGAGAAAGCAGTTCTCCAGGTCCAGGATTCAAACCATGATCAGCCAGGTGGGAGTCTAGCACCCTTAACCACCACACCACCTGCCAGCCCCAGACTTTAATTCTTACAGAAGAAAGAAATCAGAGTATATTGTAATAGTCATCTTTTACTTTTTTGTTTAGGCTTTATGATCTATATAGCTTCCAGGTCATTCCTGTCCTGGGAGAGGTCATTGCAGGAGACTGGAAATCATATCAATACCTTGTAGAGAGTATCCGACGGTTCCCATCTCAGGTACGAAACTTCTGTAGCTTATGACAAAGCCCCTGAAGTTGAAATCACGTAGTCCTTGCCATATCTTTCCTTGTGTTTTAGGAAGAATTCAAGGAGATGATAGAAGATGCAGGCTTTCAGAAGGTGACTTATGAAAACCTCACATCAGGCATCGTAGCCATTCATTCTGGCTTCAAACTTTAACTGCTTCCCTGTCCTGGAGGCTGACCCAGGCATATTCCGTCCAAAGCCTGGAACTGAAGGATAATCTGATGGAACGGAAGCAGAGTGTCTCCTCTTAAGGCTATGGGCCTTGAACTCTGAATCGACCAATCTCAAAGTGGAGGAAACAAAGTCTTGTCACTTTTTTGCAGCTTTCACCAGGAGCTGCTTCAGGCCCTCTGGAGTTATTTGGTCTACCTTTTTTCAACTCCTACACTTCTCTTGGCTGTGCATTGTGCCTGCGGTCAAGGTAAAACCAGCACTAACGCACAGTTTTGACTTGTATTTGTAGCTTCTCTGCTGATACTGCCTCCCAAAAGGATAATGGATCATTTCAACCCAATGATGATTTGAACCAGAAAATTTCTTACCTGTATCTGAATCAGCCTTTCAGCCTAGGACTGAAATTAAGGCCAAAAGCTAAGGCCCAAATCAGAGGGCTATTAGAATTGTGTGACGAACCAGTAAATCAGTTTACAATCTGGAACTATTTGTCATTTTTTTTTTTTCTTGCAGAGTGTAAGAGAAATACATTGTTCAGTCCTCTTTTACCAGAGGCTGTTGTGTCCTCAGTGCCTATAATAAACAAACAAACAAGCAAACAAAAAACCCACCTCACTAAATTCTTGTTGAAAGAATAAATGTTCCATAGTCCCTCCTTGTTGGGACCTTCTCAGCAGAACACATTTTTCTGAGCGAGGGAGGCTCAGGAAAATGATTGGCACTGTTTCTTCTAATCTTTTGAGACAAAATATAAATAAAACGTTGCTTCCTTAGACAGATACTACTTTGCAGTATAGACAACTAACATTCACATACAAATACTTTCATTACTATACAAATAAAACTCACAAAACCACATTTCTGCACATCTCTAAAAGTCACCATGGGGTCTAGCAATTGGCATGGTGGTTGAGGGCTCTGGACTCCCATGTGGCTGACTATGGTTTCAGTCCCAGATCTGGTGGCTGGCTTTCTCATTTTCCTTCTCTCTCTCACTCTATTCCTCTCTGGTCAAATTAAAATAAACAAATAAATAAATAAAATTAAGTAAAACAATTATTTAAAAATAAATAAATGAAGTCACCATGTCTGTTTAAAATAGACACTCTCCACACCTCCATTCATGGTTTATCTCTCCATGATTTGAGTTACGTGTGGTCATCTATGGTCCAATATTTTGAGAGGGCACCCATACAATTTTTTATTACAGCATGTTGTTATAACTGTTCTATTTTTTTATTAACTTCTTTTTTTTTTTTTTTTGGAGAGGTTTTTGCCATAGGGCACATGCGCTCGCCAGAGAGACAGAGAGATAGAAAGCAAGAAATCACCCCCCAGGGGGGATGGCCACGCCGCAATCCCTTCTCCTCCATTCTCCTCTCGGGATCTTGGGCACGCACGCACACGCGCCCGGCGTGAGTTTAAGCCACAGAGTCCGGGACGTGAACCTCAGTCGATTACATGGGAGTCCAGCGACATAGCCATTACGCTAACTGCTGGTCCCTATTTTTTTATTAACTTCTTACTGTACCTCAATAATGTTTTAAAGAATTATTTAAATTTTTTTTAGTATTGTTCTTTTTATTAACTTTAATTATTTATCTATTTATTTTTAATTTGACAAGAGAGGCACAGAGAGAGAGAGAAAGAGAGGAAAAGTGAGAAAGCAAGCTGCCAGGTCTGGAACTCCAACTGTGGTCAGCCATGTGGGAGTCCAGTGCTCTTAACCACCACGTCACCTCACAGACCATATTATTATTATTATTTACTTTGCTATGGGGCACATGCCCTCAGCAGAGAGAGTGTGTGTGAGAAAATAAGCAACCAGGTCTGGGGCTGGAACTGCAAGTGGCCATGTCATAGTCCAGTGACTTAACCACGACAGGCTGGCCCAACACGTGAAATTCTGAGCAACATACAACAGGGGTCAGTACTATCCATGGTTTGAGGCATCCATCAGAGCCTTGGAACATATGCTCCCTAGATAGGAGAGGACTACTATCTTTCTAAAGAATAATTTTATTTAACTCTATTTTAATTTGACCAGAGAGGGATAGACTGACAGACTGAGAGAGAATGAGAGGGAAAGTGAGAAAGCAATCTGCCAGGTCCAGGATTCAAATGTGGTTGGCCATGTTGGAGTCCAGCACCCTTAACTACCATACCATCTGTCCACTCCTGGGTTTTTTTTTTTTTTTTTCACTGTAGGGCGCGTGCGCTCGCCAGACAGACAGAGAGAGACATAGAGACAGAAAGCAAGAAATCTCCCCCCAGGGGGGATGGTCACACCGCAATCCCTCCTCCTCCATTCTCCTCTCGGGATCTTGGGCATGCACGCACACGCGCCCGGCGTGAGTTTTAAGCCACCGGGTCCGGGACGCGAACCACGGTCGACTATGTGGGAGTCCAGTGACATAGCCATTACGCTAACTGCTGGTTCCCCACTCCTGGGTTTTAAAGCAAAAATAAAGTTTGAAAACTATGTACCCTAACCCCTTCTAGTACTCAGGATTGGAACTAGGCAGTTCTTGTCACCTTAGCACAGTCTATTTAATGTTTAAAATGAGGCCAGAAATATGTGTGTGTGTGTGTGTGTGTGTGTGTGTGTGTGGGTGTGGGTGTGTATGTATACATACATATATATATATATATATACACACACACATATATATATACACACATATATATGTATGTGTGTATATATATGTATACACACATATATATATATTAATATGTAAAGTCCAGAAATATTTATGTATATATAAATATACTTTTTGCCATAGAACATGTGTACTCACTGAGGAGAGACAGAAAGACAGAGGGAAAGTGAGAAATCACTTCCTGGGTGGGGGTGGTGGCCATGCCATAATCTCTTCTCCAGTATCCTCTCCAGATTTGGGGCATGTATGCACAGGCACCTGATGCCTGGTGTGATTTTTCTTCTTTTAAGGTTTAAGTTCATTTATTACTATTCAACTTGATAGGGAGGGGAGTGAGAAAAACAAGCTGTACGGTTCAGGACTTGAACTACAGTCAGCCACGTGGGAGTCGAGTGCCCAAACAACCATATCAACTGCCAGCCCCACCCAGCATGATTTTCACATTGCTGGGTCTGGAACTCAAACCACAGTTAGCCCTGTGGTTATCTAGCGCCTTAACCACCACACTACCTGCTGGCCCCAGAAATAGATTTTGAAGGTTAAGGGTTTTTTAAAAAATATTTAATTCCATTTGATATTGTTTTATTTATTATTATCTTTTTAAATTCAACCAGAGACAGAGAAAGAGAAAGGGAAGTGAGAAAGCAAGCCACCAGGTCCAGGACTCAAATTGCAGTCGGCCATGTGGGAATCCAACACCTTTAACCACACCATCTGCTGGCCCCAAGGGTTTGTTTTTTTGGTCTTAGTTTTTTACTTTTTTCTATAGTGCATTTGTGCTCACCAGAGACAGAGAGAGGTAAAGTAAGAAAGCACACCCTCCAGAGAAGCAGGCCACACCACAATCCCTTCTCTCCGTATTTCTGGGCAGGCACACATGCCTCGCCTGTTTCTCAAGCTGCCTGGTCCAGGACTCAAAACTGTGGAGTGGGCCATGTAGGATCCAGTGCCTTAATCACCATGCTGCCTGCTGGCCTCAAGTTTAAGGAAACTTGCTAAGAAATTACAGAAACCAGTCTGTGACTTAGCTGTGGAAAACCTAATTCAAAGTTACTTGAAAGAGCTTTAGATGTGCTAGGTATGATTTATATACATTTCCTTAGAATCTTGCCATCAGTGAAGACTTCAGATCTAACGCAGTAATCAACTATTCCAAGAGCCACAACTAAAACCATTTGATAACATGCTAAATTTTAGGAAAACTTTCAACTTATGGTTTTGTTTTCAGCCAGGGGAAACATTGACTTGCAGATGGCATGGTGGTTAAGGTGCTAGACTCCCACTTGGCCAACCACTGTCTGAGTCCCAGACCTGGTGACTTGCTTTCTCACTTTCTCTCTTGCTTTGTCCCTCTCTGGTCAAATTAAAAAATAAATAAATAAATTTAAAAAAAAAAAGAAATTAATAGGAAGGGGGACCAGCAGGTGGTGCAATGGTTAAGGTACTGGACACTCCTACAGGGCTGACTGCAGTTTGAGTCCTAGACCTGGCAGCTTGCTTCCTCATTTTCCCTCTCTCCCTCTACCTCTGTCCCTCTCTGGTCAAATTAAAATAAACAAAAAGTTAAATAATTCTTAAAAAAAAAGTAATAGATTGGAACAGACATTGGAAGGAATCTCATAAACCGTCAACCCCGTCATCTTATCTACATAGTAATGTGGCTTTCTCAGATCTGAATTACAAAGTTAAAAGCTGCCACCTTCCTGACAGCAGATATGAGCCACATTAAATTAGAACCCCCATCCAGCTCTATCGTCTTGAATCAGTTCTACGCTGTTGCTGGACCCAGAGCATCTAAATGGTATAGGGCTTTCTGGACAAGAGAAGAACTTTGGAGGCCAAATTCCTATTAGGTTTTAAACAGAAGTATAGCCAAGTCATTCCAGAGAGAAAAGGGATACTGCAATCAATTATGGAAACATTTCCAGTGTGTTCACATAAATACAAACCTACATCACCCCAACAACAGTTCTGTTCCATACCTCATCCTTTCCTACAGACAGCAAAAAAAAAAAAAAATCTATTTTAACTACAATAAAATTATCCAAACTTTTGCAACTCTCTTCTGAAACCTTCTCAAGTCCTAAAATAACACACTTTGACTAGGACCCCTAAACCACAAATCTTAGTAAACAAAAATAAACTTACAGGGTCAGTGGGTGGTGGGGTGATTAATGGATCCTACATGGCCAACTGAGCAGTTTGAGTCCTGGACCCAGTGACTCCAGAAACACAATGGGCATGTATGCATGCATGTCCAAAATCCTGAGAATAGGAGATTGAAATATGGCCATCCCCCTGGGGGTGATTTCTCACTTTCTCTCTCCTGTGAGCACACATGCCCAATAGTAAAACTAAAAAATAAAAAGGTGTTCTGGGACTGGCAGGTGGTATGGTAGTTAAGGATGCTAGACTCCACATGGACGACTATGGTTTGAGTCCTTGACCAGGCTGCTTGCTTTCTTACTTTCCCTCTCTGGTCAAATTAAAAATAAATCTTGGCATAATGGCTGTCACTGGACTCCCATATAGTCGACCTGGACCTAGTCGCTTAAACTCATGCTGGTACGCATTTGCATGCATGCCCAAGATCCAGAGAGAAGAATGGAGAAGGGATTGCGGTGTGGCCATCCCCCCCGCCAGGTGATTTCTCACTGTCTTTCTGGTGAGCACACGTGCCCTATAACAAAAACTTCCCCTCCACACCGCCCCACACACAAAAAGTGTTACTAAACCTAATCCTACTCTTAGTATGTACTCTACTATATGCCACATAAGCTTTTTAGAAAATTTGCTCTAGGGTGTTTGAGAAAAGGGGAGGGAAAATGAGAAAGCACCCCCTGGGAGATGGGCTACACCACAATTCCTTCTATTTTCTTCAGTTGGGCACAGGCTGCACCTGGAGTGTTTTCAAGCCACGGGGTCCATGACACAAATCAAGTGGGATCCAGCCACCTTAACCACCATGCCACAGGCTAGCCCCACAAAAACTTCACATTTCAAAGACTTACCCCCCACCAACCTGGTCCCCTGATTAAAGTAATAAGCCACCTTCAAATCTATATAATTAGAATAAATTTTAGGTGACACACATACACATCTCCAACAGATTTATTTTTTAAAG